GTTGAGCAAAGCTTGAAAATTTCTGGAAAACGGTTTGACATCTTACATTCGTCAAAGGACAAGCAATAATACGAAGCATAGCTTAAAATTATTTCACAAATACCTTCACCATCATATCTCCTGGAAAATAAATAAATTTAATCTCTCAGTCCAAACTTAATTCTCCTATTTTTTAACTCGTCGATTTAATTGCAATAACAACTACAAACTCGAATCCATTATTAAAAACTTCAGTCCAACGCAACTAATTACTTAATTAATCACTCCTAGCATATTCCATAATATGTTTCGAAAAAAAATTACTCCCTTACTGGCCTCTCCTTTGAGAATTTGATAATGAAAGGAAGCATCAAAGATGAAAAATTCAAATCAAACAGTTAGTAAATTATCAGCTTTTACCTCATAATCTTGATACTCTTTGGACGATCTTATCAATGCATAAGTTTGTAAAACTAGTAACATATTAGCTTCAAATTCTTTACTTCCTCACATCTCGAAATTAGTAAATACGCCATAATTATTGCATTTCCAAAAGTATCCAAATCAGCTAATTAAATAATCAAATCTATTCAACAAGTTACTTCAAATTACTAGAAAACAGTAACAGTCTTATTCCGTAAAACTGCTAGAATTTTGCAGTAGAGAGCGCTATCACTACGCTGTTTTACTTCACATTTTTAATTTCTTAACTGGTCTTACATTCTTTTTCTTCCGTACCAAGCCTATTTGGTGGTAGCCTGATCGATATTACAACCCGAATATGATTGGAATCACAATTGGAATTTTACCAATGTTCGACACATCTCAAACCAACTTATTTTTACTTCAACATTTAATGAAGCGCACCCAAAAACACTGAGGTATTTCCATTAATTAGCAACCAATACAAAGCAAGATCATTAGAAAGAAAAATCAAACATTTGGAAGGAATACGGTAATATAAAGGTCAGGCAACCAGCACGGTTAAATACCGATAGAAGTTGATGATAAATCCCTGACAATAATTTTGCAGCCCTTCAAAATTCCTTTCCTATTTTAAACAAACCTCAGATTCTGTTTCTGTTGAAACTTTATAAAGAAAAAATCATATAAAAGGATAAAATATCCGACATGAAATTTCGACGACAATAAAATTTTGGAATGCGCAAAAGAAAAGAATAGAATATCCGAAAAAAGTCAAAAAAAAAAAAAAACACACACACATATAAAAAAATTCCACGACAAAAAAAAAGCGAGATTAAAATTAACAGCTTAAAAAAATGCATGAAAAAAAGAAAAAAAACCGTTGCCTTTAATCTTCTTCGCTGTTACTTCTTGTATTTTTTCTTTTCCTGAAATCAGCTTTCAATTTGATTCCGAAAAAAAAAAAACTATTCGAATATTCTATTAGTCCGCCTAATTCGACCCACTAATTTTTTTCTCGTTTTGTTAGATGATAAGTGTATTGTTTAGATGCAATATGAATTAAATGAATTAACTAATTAACTGGAATTATAAAAAGCTATTGAGAACTAATGATACTACAAATAATCCATGACTATAGCTTGGAAAAACTGTATTACAGCGAATATGATGATAATGATGCGTCAAACTGATCAACATGATATATTTATTCACGAAGATCAGTTGACATGTTTATCTTAGCAACGAATATTTCCCCGAATAATGTAATTAAAATGATGTAATCATTATTACGAATTGTGTAGCTAGAGCTAAAATGTTTCATTTTTTACAGACCAAATTTCAAACATAAAATATTAGTAATCAAATGTATATCTGAAAAAGAAAATACATACCGCCTCATATCGCTGCTTATCCTGGCTGGCCATTTTCTCGTACTTGCTCTTATCTTTTACCTTGCCCCATTCAACACCTGCTGCTTTGCTCACATCAATGACAGACATGCCAGGTTTCGCTATACGAGATCTATTTTCCAGCAACCAGAACATGTAAGCTGACTTGGCTCGCTTCGGTGCATTCGGATCCTGCAAAAAGATCTCAGAAAATACAATAGGAGATAGTCTGAAAATACAACATATCATATCATCCATGGTTTAGTCTATTAATGACTGATATGTTAGTACTTATACTGTAATAATTATAGTACTTATGTGCTCATAGTACTTAAAGTACTCATCCACACTAATTGTTTTGCTTTTTTTATGGAAATAAAAAAAAAGCTAACTTACTTTGACCTTCTTCGTCTTCTTTTGCTTTGATGTTGATGCTCCGCTTGACCTTTTACTTGACTTTTTTGATCCCTTTGGCCCTGTCTTAGCCATGATGGTGAATGTTAGTGTATGGTAAGTAGTAAGATGTAAACTTGAAAAACCTGAAATTTCTCACACCCACAGAAAATTTTTCTGTGAAACTTCTATGAGAGAAACACTGCAAGAAGATCATATCTTTCAGAGATTACTACCGTACAGCAGATATCAATTAAAAATTACAATGTATTAGGTCAAATTGGTTAATCCCAACATAATCGTAAGAACAAAATAAGACAGAAAAAGAAAGATGAATTTGAGGTGCTGCTAAAAGATTTGAATGACCGCTCTCTCTCTTTCTCCTTTTCCCACTCTCTCTTACTAACAGCGATGACTAACTGTAAGCAGTAAAATGTTACGCTGAGTTTACAGACTGACTTAAGGATGGGAATGTTTCAATATTAAATTGCCCAAAACTAAAACTAAACCCTATAAATCTGAGCTAAATTGAATGACCCCTCTTTCTGACCAATTGTAACCAACTAATAAGGAGAGAGTGACCATCTAAGAATTTGATGATGATGATGAACGGAAGATGAAATGAAATGTAGCAAAAGTATTCTCGAATTTATATACCCAGCTAATGGTACCAACATTTAACACCCGCCTAAAAAGGGAGCAGAAAAAAAGAGAAAAACCGCCGAAGGAAGGAGAACAAAAAACAAAAATAAAAACCGCCCAATTAAAGAAGAAGAAAATGAATAATTTGATAGAACAGAAAGTGAAAGAAATTGTGAACTATGTGCAAAATGCAAAGTGATAACCATGAAAATATTATGGTTTAGGCAGAGATTTGATGAATCATACAGTAAGAGAAATGAAGAAATTTAAGAGCAAAGGAAATGAGAGATAGTAGTTTGTGTGAGAGATTTAAAGAAATCAGATATTTTATATAGGAAGCAATGTGTGATCTCACATATCTAATATTAGATATACTCAAGTGACCACCAACATAATGACCAGTGACCAGTAACAATGGCATACATACACACACACACACATGCACACATACACACATACATACACCCTTAGACTAAAGCTAGTGAAATTATTATTGGCGGGTTGATATTTCTTTCCTATACAATGTCCTCCTCTTCTGACAATGTGACCAAAGGAAATCAAATATTTGACCATTTTCCAGCAATGAATTGATTTGATGCAATTCTTAGAGTAATTTCATCCATACAATCTGCCATTTTTCATCATATATTTGTATTAAATGGAAAGATCATAGAGTTGTGACATTAGCGCATTTCTGTTATTAAATGTAGCATAGCTTTGATAAAAATTCTATGTAAAGTTTTGATCGAAAATAAAGCATAGTTTTTTGCAAAAAATATAGCATAAATTTATTAAAAAATCCGCATAAATTGATCAAAAATTGAGCATAATTTCTTGCTAAAATATAATGTGAACATAATACTAAAAATGCAGCGTAAATTTATCAAAAAATATAGTTTTAAATTTGCCAAAAAGAAAAAAGTTTTATTTTACTTAAAATGATAAAAGATATCGTACATAATATCAAGATAATATCAAATATAAAAAATTTTGCAAAAGAAAAAGGAAGCGAGTCATCGTGCTGAAAGAAAAAATGGGAGAATATAATGCGAATAATTCATTTCGGAAGCACTTCCCTGGAATGAATTATTCCAATATCTCAAAATCTATGTTATGATTTGTGCAGCAAAATATATATTATTTATAAAAGTGAAAATTCGACTCAGAAAAATGTTATAAATTGTAGCATCTTAACTAATAATTAATTCAAGAACAAAGTTCGTGAAGATCAGAGGTCATTAGGGGGTAAAGTGAATGTCGCGCAAACCATTTTAAAATCATCAAACCATACTTTTACGCATTACTGAATAGAAAATAATTTGAAGTACTGCTGATTTTAATTGTGAACAGAATGATCCATTAGATACTATGAAGTCAGTCGTCGCATCAACGAATCACTGGAAAAAGTCTGAGGTGACCATGCACTGGATGTGCACTGTTGTCACATCTTGTCAACAATAAAATCATCTTACTATTGTCGCATGAGTAAGTGAATGTTATGCAGTAACTTATCCATTAGCATAAGTCATGTATGTGACGTGAATGTTGACAGATAATTAATTGATTGCTTTGGTAGGGCAAAAAACATAATTGAAGTTTACTTGTAGATAACTTTACTTGTAACTTTATAAGTAATAACTTTCATTGATTGGATAATTGGACAATATTCGTTTTCATTTATTCTCAATTGTATTATTCAGTTCGGAGAATTTTTTTTTTTTTATTTGGAATTATTTACAAATAATATTTATATAATTTAAAATATGTATTTATAAAAACGAAGCAAAAATATTGCGAGCGGAAGAATTACAACTGTCTGCCAGACAGCACAATCTTCTGAAATATCATTTGTTGATTTCTTTTCTTAGATAATAAGAGAGAATTTCAATTCTATTTTATTATTTTAGTTATTCTATCCAATATATACTTTACTCATATTACCCAGAAATCTAACCATTTTCTTGGCTAACTAATAGAAAAAATATTGTCCTTAATTCAAATATTATTAGTCCCCTTTAATTAATTCCATTATTGTTGAAAGCTGCAAGAGCTCTAATCTGTGAAGATTTCAATATTAATGAAATTTTTTGGTATCATTGAAAAGAATTTCGTGTTAATAAAAAAAAAATATATGTCTTACGGAATAATTGCTTGTTATTGCTTTTGCTGCAATCATTTCTTCTTTACAACTGAAATTTCAGCTAACGATATCAAAAAAAAAAAAAAAAATCGAAAAAAAACGATATTTATATTAAAAAAAATTATATCTTTAAATATGAACAAAAATAAACAGAATGTATGAAGTAATATTCCTGAAAAATTACTTTACTCAAACTATATTAAGCAAAGAAATAGTAATAAAAATTTCCCATTTTCTCAGGTGTGTTTAATTTAAATAAAATTAAAATAATCAATGTTGCTTAGAAAAAAAAATTACTTTCATGCCAATAATCGTAGTAGTCCAAATTTTGATTAGTCTAAAACATTAAACATTTTAAAATTTAAATTTATAGAAAATAAAGCAAAAATTTTTCAGGAAAGTTAAGATCGAAAAAATATTTCATTTGCTTTGTTTTTCTTTTCTAAACAAACATTTTAAATAAACGAATCGAATGAAACAGTTTTTGACTTTTTTCTACGAATTTATTTTACAGTATCATTGCAAATATACTATCATTAACTTTTTTATAATTTCCGTACATTCTAAATAACTTAAAGAGTCGAATTGGAACTTTAAACTAGAAATAATTCATATACTATCGAAATAATATTGAATGAAATCAGTTTGTTTATTTTTTTTTTTGAAATTTCATTTTGAAAAGTTTACTTTTAATTTTCAATAATAGTGAAGAGTGTAATTTTACTAAGGTTGCATTCCTCTACTATTCCTATATTAAATTTCAATCAAAAATGATACCATTTCCGACTTAGAGTAGTCATCAGGTTGAGGGACCGGTTGGACGTCAAGCTGAAATTGATTTTAATTAAATGTCATTTGGGAATGTTTTCCCTGTAATCGCATTCACATATTTTCTACGTTCGTATTCCCACTATTCATTACTAAGTAATAAAGTATATATATATATATATATATATATATATTTCAATTATTTGAGTTAAAATTTCTTTCTATTTCAAAACATTTCTTCATACTTAAAAATTAAATCAATAAAGTTTAAATGAAATTGGTTGAAACGATATAATTTGATAATTTCTATTGATAAACGTCAATTCATGGCAGTAATCACACATAGCACAAAGTAAATATATTTTCATTCATAATTTGTTTCTCTTTTTTTTTTCGATACAAAAGTGTTACGGAATTTTAAGCATTACTTTAAAAATTAAAATAAATTTCAGTTTTTTAATCACTTAAATTATTAATAATGTATAAATATGATATACATTTGTGTATTATAAAACTGCTATTATATCTTATGAATACGTAGTATTCGAGATAGTTTAACTGATACTTATCTATTATCAGAATTTTTGAAAATAAAATTGACCTCAGAACGTGGTACTTTATATCGACATACAACGCGAAATTCGAAAAATCGTAATTTACAATCGATATCGAAGACGAGATATTTTCTGGGGCCAACTGAAAAGAAAGATAAAGCAATGTGAAATTACAATAGTATACAATTGCACTAGCTTATTTCAAAATTCATTTACGATATGCAATAATCTTACAGTTTTGAATTTCTATTAAAAATAAATTCAATCATTTGCAAAGTTGCAAATGCGATTATCTAATATGAAAATTACAATTAATCAAAATTGAATTAAAAAGGTAAAAAATATTATTTAGGATGAACACTTTTCAAATAATTATCAGTTGAACAATTATACATTTTATCTAATGAGAAATATATTATAATTTAAATGAAATTAGTTTTACATTTTCAAAATTAACAAAATTTACGTGTTGGTGGACTGTACATGAAAAAACGTCGACATTGGCCTTTTTTTATGTATGTAAAACGTGATTTGAAATCAGCTTCCATGAAATCACTATAATTAAATGCTGATTTATCGAACCATTCAAGACGTTCATCATAATATTTTAAACCAATCAATAATGGCATTGAAGTCAATGAGTAATCGGCTGCTAAACAAATCAAACTACTACTAAAATTGGTGGCAAAATCATTTATGTGATAGTTGAAAACTAATATTGTAAATATGAATAAATTTTTTTTTTTTCAAAATTTAACTAACGAAATTAAAAAGAATCATTTCTTTAGCATTTATGTCTTAGAGAATTGAAGAAGAAAATTGTAGAAGCTAAAAAACAAAAATATTTAATTTATTTTACTTGAAAAAAAAAAAAAACTTAAAAAGAAATAACTGAAATGAAATGCATACTTCGATATAATACTTTAACATATTCATATTCTTTTTTATTACGAATGCTAATACTGGTTCCATTTGGTGAAGCATGCATTGTATAATCTCGACACAAACGATTGTCACCTTCACCATCTGGTTTTCCAAAGAATTCATCAATGTATTGTTTATCCTATAAAATATTTTGTCAAAATTTGTCAAATTTTTCGTTAGTTTTTGAAATATTTTATAGCTATAGACTTTTCAGTTTAGGCGAACCAAAAATATTAACAAATTAAGGGAACTAAAATTTATTTAAGCTTAATACAAATAATTATTATCATTAATTATTCATGAAGTGAATTTGAAGAATTGAAATCCTTGAGGAACTAACATGTCTATTGAATGAAAACACTTTAAAACAATAAACATCCAAGCCAATTCGTTTCATTTCAAAATCATCAGAACATACTGCTGAAGTTAGAAATTTAAAATTCTTGATTTTTAATTATCCATCTTAAACGACTATTGTTACTGCTATTTTTATTTATTTTAAAACCAAATTAATTTATTAAAAAAGGCGCAAGCTTACATGCTTACATGCTTACAAGAATTTTATCATTTATAAATTGAAAAAAGCTTTTAAAATTATTAGCATAAAAACTTTTCAAAAAACCTTACAATTTATCTTAAATGAGAAAAATGTTAAAATTAATGATTGTTTGAAATAGCAGCTAAATTTAGTGCATGCTGCCAATGAAATGATATGATTTGTTAACAGAAATTATACTTGTTTTCACGGAAATCCACACACTACGTGTTAACATAGACTTCAAAACAAACAAACAAATAGTGAAACGACCACTTTAATAATACAAATGAATACTAACTCGGTGCGCAATACGTTGAGATGAGTGCAGTCGCGAGACAAACAATAAAAACAACCGTACGTGACATCATCGGATGTTCGTCTGATGAAGAATTTTGCAAAATTCCATTAAAATAATAATCAATCTGAAGAAGCAATCGATACTAAATGTATAATTCAACTTTAAAATTATTTCAAAAAATAATAATGATGTATGTTCTTAATAGATTCTATTTTTGAAATTCTGCGCTATTTTCAACTCTTAAAAAAAGAGAAATACACGTTTATTAAATGTTAACCATAAAAATAACTTTATTGAATTAATGAAAAGTAGTTTAGTTGTTTTTTTTTTTTTTTTTTTTAGCTTTTATAGTGTTTTTATATAATATAAAATTATCACCTTAATGTATTACATTTCTTATCATTTTTTTAAGATCTTTTTTTTTTACATTTCTCACAGCTTGTCATTCAATTATTAAATTATTTTCATATCTTGAAGTGATAAATGGCTGCAAAGATGATTACAAAAAATTAACGAAAAATTATAAATACTAAACTAGCAGAGAATTCAAGCAAAAGAACTTAGTAGCATGTAAATCATTTTCGTAAAATAATCAGAATTTCTATCAAAACCTTATCAATATCCTATTTCAAATTTTTATCAACAATACTGCTTCTATTTCTCAACATGTCGCCGAAATCATATAATTCTAATTCGAATAATTTCAGTTTAATTTTTAACACAAATATTTTAGCATAAATGTATGGAAATAATATAACTGATCAGTATGAATAGTGTGCCGTTATCAGCATTATCAGTAATTAATTGATATAAGATTAGAAGTAAGTAGAAATAGATGCTAATATGAAACTGCTTAATTATGTTGAAGTATTTTTCACAGGTAAAAATAACAGGATAATAATGGATGATAAAATTTTAAAATTTATAGCTGAGATTCACACTACTTTCTTTTTCGTCTTCAACTGTCCTTACTGATCATCTGATAAATTAAATGTCTTCATTGCTTTTTATCATCGCTTATCACTGATATCATCTTACGTTCATACATTTTTTTCGCACCTTTCCTGGGCGTTTATCATTTGCCCTGAATGATTGTATAAATCATTGTGTTATATATTTATACTATAAATAATTTCAATTTCCAGAAACCAAAAGGACTTAAGAAATTGATAAGTTAAGAAGACCAATAATTCACTTAAAAAGGCATAATAATTCTTCAAGGAAATTTTACTTGAAATGATACAACAATTAAATCAGAAAATTTTAAGTAAATATTTCTTCTTCAGTTGAACGAATTGAGACAAAAAAAATTGTTGTCTGTAAACAATATAAGCATTTTGTGATTTAAAAATTACTACAAATTGTTTCAAACATAGTAAATATTATTAGCAACAACTGAAACTGTTAAAATCATTGAAAAAAAAGCAAATAAAGAAAGCAATGAATTGCCAATTAAAATAGTATTTAGTACGAACATATTTACCGATTTTTATGACAAGTTATGATGTTTTTCAATCATGAAGATAGTTTGTAGTAAGATTTGTGATAAGCGTTAAGGAAAACTTCGAATATCATCAAAAAAAATCTATTAAAACTACAGTTTAAATTAAAAATAAAAATAATCTATGAATGAAGAATTGAATCTTTTGTTATGAAAAGACAAAAAGTAAAGTAAATAATTATGATATCCTTTAGTTAACTTCTTTATATAATAGCTTATAAAAATGATAATGATTAGATCACTTATAAATGATTAGAAAGGAATGAAATAAATTAATAAACCAGAAATTTTATTTTTTTTTCGCATTCCTTGAATTATTTTACAATAAAAGTTTCATTAAGTTGCATCTAATTTATTGAACATGAAAATTACTTTTTTTTAATTCCATCCTTTTAATTAAATCTTGAAAAATAATTTAAGAAAAGTGATAAAGGAATAGGAATAAATCAAACTAAAATCATTTTTATTTAGCAAATAAATCACTGACAAATTTTGATTGGTAGAAGTTTGAGTATTTATTATCATTAATTAAAAATCACATTTCAAATTGAAATTACTTTAATTGGATGAGATTTAAAACAAAAAAGTGATTACTTATCATTGAAAAAATTATAATCATTCAAATAATACTAACTATAATAGAAAATCTAATAAAAAACGAAAAAAAAAGAAAAGAGAAAATTGTTTAAATTTTTTATATATATTGCATTTTCTCATTTATAATATTTATTAATATCGCTTCTTCAGATTGATTATTATTTTAATGGAATTTTACAAAATTCTTCATCAGACGAACATCCGATGATGTCACGTACGGTTGTTTTTATTGTTTGTCTCGCGACTGCACTCATCTCAACGTATTGCGCACCGAGTTAGTATTCATTTGTATTATTAAAATGGTCGTTTCACTATTTGTTTGTTTGTTTTGAAGTCTATGCTCATACATTTTTATGCTAAGCGTGGATTTCTATAGGAACAAGCATAATTTCTGATAACAAATCATATTACTTTATTTGTATAATTGTATTTTGTTACTAATACAGGAAATCAACAACAGCGTCAGAGCGATAATTTACCTTTACCACGAAGAAAAGTATTCATTAATCTTTTTTTTGCAATTGAAATATTAATGAATCACAATTGCAAATAGTTAAAATTTAAAAAACTGTATCAAAGCAAATTATTAAATCATTTTTATTATTTATGCAATACGATTACTTGGTGAAAATAAATATATTTCTATAAAGAAACAAAATAAGCTTAAGAAATTGAAATTAATTTTGAAATTATAATTTATAATATTGCATAAATGTTTAGATTAAGGGTAATTTGGAAGATGTGCGAAGTGACAGTGCAATGTTTCATAACCGAAAAGCGGAAGCTATTAAACTTGTGGAAGAGACAGGAAAAATAGATAAAAAAGGACTTTCCGGACTCAAAGAACGCTTCAAGAGAAAAACGAGTTAAATTTTTTTTTTTAATTCATAATGAAATTGAAAAATATTTCCAAATCTAAAATTTCATCCATTTTAGCGATTAACCTGAACCATTGTTGTAAATTTCAGGAAAAATTTCCTTATGTCTTCGTTTTTTAGTTGAATTGAAAAATAAAAGAATTTTTTAGTTAACTGATCAAGAAATGTAAGAGCGAATGTGAGAAATGAATTTGTAATTGTGTTTGGATATGAAATACGGAAATGATGAAAATTTATGAATTATTTTATGTTTGAAATTGTTCACTGCTTCAAAATAACTTTTCCGGCACTCACATAGTATTAATTGCATTAATTACTTTTCATACTTATTTCATGCAAATGTGATTATGAATAAATCTTTGAATATTTAAACTTTTGAATAGTTTACTCTTGGAAAAAGGAAAATTAAAATTTTGCAATGCATACATAAAAAATAATACTTTGTAGTATCAAAAAATTGAAACTATGAATTTCAGTAATTTATTTATTAAAAAGATATAAAAGGATTATTTCATAGGAATGATAAAATTATCTGATAAATTCAGAAGTGCTAATCAAATAATACAATTTGTTTCATTTTTTATTGCTTCCGTTGATTGACAATGATACTGCATTTAATTAAGTGAATTAAACAAATTGTTGAAGTTTCATTTTATAAAAAATTAAATTGGAAAATCTCATGAAAGTATTCAAAATAGCTTAAAGAACTTAAAGAAGCTAAGTGTAAGATTAGGCTTAAGCATACATATAAACTAAAATCTAAGCATTCTTTCATTTTTACGAGAATTTTAATTTTGATGATAAATGCTTCACTTTCTCCATTTGACCGTGCCATAAAACTGCTAAGAAGTATAACAGTGACGTAGTTAATACTTTGTAACATTTGCGCTTTCTTTCTTTTAGCAATTTGACATTTCGTTGATAATAATATAATGATGAGCAACATAATCTCTGAAAATTTTCGCTTTACAAAAACAACTTACTGATAAATGACGTGATGACGTGATGATAGACATGAATATGACATTTGCGTATGCCATCATCACATTATCAGCTCTGATTCATTTCATTTTTTTTTTAAACTGTTAATTTTTGAGGAGAAAATTTGTTCTCCAAAATTTATTTTTACCTTTTTTTTATTTTAATTTTTTGATGTCAAACAATTTAGACTAAATTACGAGTATTGAACAAATTATTTATTTTTTATTTGTAACTCTTTATTATGGATTACGGATGGAACTATTTTTTAGATATAATGAATTTAAACCGAATAATAGTTTTTGACAACTATGATAAGTTAGTAATTATAAACTGATAACAAGATTCTGATGATAGCACGACGATATCACAGGAACTGATTTTCATGTGCTTTTGCTTGCTGCTATTTCCATCTGAACTCGAATAAAAATTTCTTCAAATTTCTTCAAACTGCTTTGTTAAGCCAGAAGAAAAAAAAGAAAAAAAACAGCTTGGTTTTACGAATGGAATAATGAATATATTTCACAAAATTAGAAAAACAATATTAATTTGGTAGATTATGGTGGAATAATCCTTTCTGAAATGATATTTCCAAAGTTTGTTGGTGCATCATTAAAGCGTTACTGTCACCATTGTCAACGTTGAAGCGTTACTGTCACCATTGTCAACATTGAAGCGTTACTGTCACCATTGTCAACATTGAAGCGTTACTGTCACCATTGTCATCATTGAAGCGTTACTGTCACCATTGTCAACATTAAAGCGTTACTGTCACCATTGTCAACGTTGAAGCATTACTGTCGCCATTGTCAACGTTGAAGCATTACTGTCGCCATTGTCAATTGTCTCAACATTCTTAAACAAACGGTTCTATTACATCTGAGCTACATTTGGTAATGATAAGAAAAATGTTGTAGCATCTAATGAGTGTAAATGCAAGTGTCATTCTAATTCTTTCCATATGACATGATCACACGAAAAAAATGCCTATTAAAGTGAAAGTTGAAGTTTTAATTTTGTCAATCAATGCTAATTTTGTCGTTATATGCATTAAACGTTATCTCAAACTATTGGAAATATTGATTAATAGGGTACTTATTATTACTATTTAAA